TAACTGCAATGCGCATTGGATGTATTAAATTCGAAAATACACATACTTACAATTGTAAGGCATACAGTACATGCATGGAGTTAATAAAATTAATAACACGCAAGTTTCATACATTCAAAAACATTTAACCGCTCCTCATGATTGTCTCGGCATAATTCACATCAGCATTCCAAGTTTTGTAATTCTGCGCGGGAAAAAGTTCCAAACATGGCCCAGCCCAATCTGGCAGTTCTGTGAGAGGAATATACTAACTGGACCAATCTCATCTGCTTCCTCTTTGCGTTTCACGGGCTGCAAACTCTGGTGGTAAGTTCCGGTTGTTTGTGCACTTCTTGAATTTAAAAGTGTTTCAGAAATTGAGTTTTGCATGCACATCCGTTTTACAGATCGGGCCTGTAAGCAGACTCTTGATTCCTTGTCTCTTGGATAGATGCACTGCGACCTCGGTCGAGAAAGTCGACTTCTTTGCACCAGGTGTGATCCCATATGGCCCTGTTTCTCTCCAAGGAATAGCTAGCCACTCGCCTAGAGCCTTGCACAAAAGAAGCACTAACTCCGTAGCTACTGCTGTGATCGAAAAATGTCTATAAAATTACACATATCACAGGTGGAATCATTACCTTCTCCTTGCTGCTGTGCATGATGTCTTTTCAGACCAGTAGTCTTCAACCTCGGGGTGGGGGCGGGGAGATGGGGGCGGGGGAAGGGTGGCGGGGAGATGGGGAGGGGGGTGAAGAGGTTCAAGAGGATGTCGAGCAATACTGAAATTGAGTGCAATGGTACTTGTAATAATCTGGATGTTCAGCTTCAAGATTGCGTCTTGCCCAACATCAGACCAAACACAATAGCAGACATCATCAACACCAAACATCACACTGGTATGTGAACACTAAATTAGATGTCGTTTGTGATTTGTCTTCTGTTAATTGACACTTTGATTTATATGGATTATTTTCTGCAAGTTTGTGTTAACATTGTTTGAGTTTTTTCTTGTTGTCCTCCTCTTTTTTAATCATACGTTGTTTTGTTGGAGGAACAGGGAAAAAAAAAAAGGGGGGGGGGGTATTGACCCAAAAAGTTTATCTGGTTTCAACGAAAGTTATTGGAGTCGAAGACTCCATTGACTACTGTACAAGGCAAAGGGGAAGCATTTATCTATCGTCTTTTACCCCACCAGAACATCACACAAGCGATAAACACCCGATGACACAAAGTGCCACCATGTGGATGAGGATCACCCGTGGAGAGGTCCCAGGAACCGCGTTCAGCCATTTGACCATATTTATGGCCGGGCTAAATTGCGACCCCTGGCAAGAGCCAGAGTAGGGCTTCAAATAACGAAACATTTCATCTCAGAAGGAGATGACTAGATAGGTAGGGGAAGCAACCGTTAAATTTGTCAGTAGAAAATCATACCTATTCACACAAAAAAAAAAAAAGCTATTATTGATTACAATACTATTTACTGCCTACAAAAAAGCAAAGTGTATACTTTACTTAGTTATCCCACACACCATCATCACGTGCCACCCGCTGCCTCCCTAGTCATACAATTAAGAAAGCATTCCAAATGAATCTAGTATTGTGCAAATATAAATTAATGGTGTCTCGTAAACTCACAGTTTAAAGCTATGACCACAGAGGCACAGTTACAATTGTACACAATATATACATGTTTGTCAACTTAACTGTTCAGGTGTACACAATTAAGATTTACAAGACACATGAGATTTTAAAACAGTTTTGATACAATAGAACTTACTGATATAAGTTGACATAGCAACACATGAAACACTTGAAAGCAAAATGTAAATGCTTAAAAACATGGCGTGAAAATGCAAGGGACGTAACCGTCCCATATTTGTTTAGTTTGTGTCCCTTGAACTGGTTTCTGTTCGGTTTTATTTTATATGCCATTAAATGGCGGCTGGACAGTTTGTTGGACAGTTTATGACAATTTGATTGAGACCATAAATGAGGCCAGATAAGAACACATGGTGTGAAAGGTTATGTAAGTTAAGACAACATTTACATCTAAATATCAGAAGTCCTATGTTCAGGGGCGTACCCCGTGTGAGAGAGATTGTTTAAACCGTTGTGTTCTTGTAGATTGCCGGCGGATTGAGGAGCATTGTTTGTGACACCGCCTATGTTGTAATTTTGTAGCAGAAGCTGCTTATAGCTGTTGTGGTTGTTGGTGTTCTGGCTAGCGTGGGTCATCCCAGACGTAGGGGGCCCGATACCAGTATCCTGTGTTGAGGATCCACTGTTGGATGACTGTGAGCTAGCGATGGAGCCCGCAGGAGAGACTTTGCTAAGTCCGATGTTTGTGATGCCTCTGTTGGCGATGCTGCTTGGCGCTAAAGGCTGGCCTATATTCCGCGGCACGGACACCTGGCCTGGCTGGTGTGAGGGAACCATTGACTGTCCACCCGGGTACTGCATGTACTGATTACCCATTTGTCCATTGTAGGGATTCATTTTATACTGGTGGGCTAATTGCTGTTGGAAGCTCATGCTGTTTTGAGGAACACCCTGAAGATTGACAGCTGTCTGATGCTGCTCTATGGCACTGTATGGAGGCAACGGGGGTGACAGCATGCTGCCGTGGTTGTTGTAAGGCATAAACTGGGCGGAGAAGTTAGCGGCGCTGGGTTCTGAGGTATTGCTGCTGCCCGTCAATCCAGTGACTGCGGTAGTGTTGCTGGGTCCGGTGCTACTGTGATGAGACGGCTGTGACTGTGAGCTCTGGTGTGTGGAGCTAGAGTGACCCGAGTGGCTCTGCGACAATGTCCAGGGGGCATTGGGCGTGTTCTCACTATGCCAGGTGCGCAGACGAGTTTGGATCTCTCGAAACGCTGGCCGGCGAGAGGGCATCTCATGCCAACACTCCACCATCAGCCCGTATATCCGCGCTGGACATTCCTCCGGACAAGCGAGGATCTGTCTTGACCGTACCATCTCAATCACCTCTTGATTAGAAAATCCATAATAAGGCTGCAAGCCATAGCTAAAAATCTCCCACAATACAACCCCAAACGCCCACACATCACTCTCTGTGGTAAATTTCCCGTAAAGGATCGCTTCCGGTGGCATCCACCTTACCGGAAGTAACGACTTGCTCTGAACTCGAAAATAATCTGTAGAATAAACATCCCTGGACAAGCCGATATCAGAAATTTTGATGTTCAGTCCATCAACAACCAAGACGTTTCTGGCTGCGAGGTCGCGGTGGACAAAGTGATGGCTGGCCAGATAGTCCATGCCAGCGGCCAGCTGCGTGGAGACGTGAAGCATCTCCGAGTACTCCAGGATGTGTCCGTTGCCAGTCCCGCTGTCGTCCTCGGTGGAGGTGACGTCTGAGTGAGGGGAGTGGGACAACAGGTACTCGTGCAGGTCGCACTGGGACATGTATTCGAAAAGCATGCACATGGGTTCTTGTTTAGTGCAGATTCCAATCAGGCACACGATGTTGGGGTGGCGGAGTTCGGACATCAGATCAATCTTAGCAGAAAGAGGAAAACAAAAACAACAACATAAAATAATGAACAGAGGATATGAAAGCTAACAACCTACATGTCTTATTTGTCTCACTGCCCAAATAACGATTCACCTGTACATCCGAACATCATATTCACCATCAACCGTTCGCTCTATCTGTCCGAATATATGTTTGTCTGTCTGTCTGATTGTATACCTTTCTATCTGTCCATACAATAGTTATATTTCTCAACCATACCTCTCTCTGGTGATCTGTCTATTTATCTACATATGCTACAATTTTATTTCTGAGCTTTATTCCACTCTACAAGTCTGACGGTATAAGTATACTAAAGTAAAATAATATTACTTTACCAAACATCTCTACAGAAAACGTGTTTGTCTGCCGTGCACCCCTCTGTCTATGTATAGGTTAGTTAGTTGCGTATCAATTTCAGGACGTTGCAGAACCAACCCTAACAGCCTCTGGCTGATGTGTGGTTTCTCTAGGCAAATTTACGTCCAATAGTTTGCCACTGCTTGCTGGACGGTCGGCTTTCTTGACATCACTGTCGAAACCAACGCAAGGTCTGTCTATGTATACTCAGCTATATTTCCCAGTCACACTACTGCACATAAGATTGCTTGCCTGTCTGTTCACTGAAGTAGCAACTGTAATTATACTTCTGTCCTTAAGTTTGCCTACCTGTCTGTCTAGGTATAAGTAATAAGCAAAGGTCCCCTTTCCACACCTTAAAGCGTATATGGCATATAGGGCTAGACCTATATTTTTTATAGACCAATCGGAACAAGATGGATGATGTGGTCAGCATAACAACGGCCGCCTCTACTTCCCGGGACTGCACCCGGTACCCACTCAAGGCTGGGTCGAGCTGGGAGTCAAGCTCATGTTTGAAAAAAGTCCGACTCCGGCAGGGAGTGAACCTAAGACCTTCCGATCCGCACGCGATAGTCTACCCGCTTCGCCACGGCGACTTCCCTGTCTGGGTGTACCGAAGTAATATTTCTAGACCGTACCTCTCTGTGGAAGTCTGTCTGTCTGTCTGTCTGTCTGTCTGTCTGTCTAAGTTTTCTGGGAAATTATTTCTCAGTCATTCTTCTCCCCGGAAGACTGTCAGTCTGTAAAGTGAAGAACTAATTCTCAGCCATACCTCTCTGTGAATGCCTGTTTGTGAATGTCTGTGTGTGAATGTCTGTGTGTGTATGTTTGTGTGTCTGTGTATACTGAAGAAATACTTCTCAATCATACCTCTCTCTCTCTCTCTCTCTCTCTATCTCTCTCTCTCTCTCTCTCTCTCTCTCTCTCTCTCTCTCTCTCTCTCTCTCTCTCTCTCTCAAAATCTGTCTGTACTGAGAAAAAAATATCACAACCATACATCTCTACACAAGACTCTCTGTGTTTCTGCCCCTCTATGTGTGTGAGAGTGTGTCCTTGTGTGTCTGTCTGCCTGTGTGTACTGAATACATATTTCCCAGCCATACGTCTCTTTGCTAGTTTGTCTCTGTCTGTGTGTGTGTGTGTATATGAGTGTGTGTGTGTATGTGTGCCTGTGTACCTGCATGTCTGTATGTATGTGTATATTGAATACATATTTCCCAGCCATACCTCTCTTTGCTAGTTTGTCTCTGTGTGTGTGTGTACGTGTGTGTGTGTGTGTGGGTGGGTGTATGTATGCGTGTGTGCCTGCATGTCTATATGTATGTGTTTACTGAATAAACATTTCCCAACCATACCTCTCTCTGAAAGTCTGCCTGTCTGCCTGTCCCATCCTTACCTCTCTCCGAAAGTCTGTCTGTCCCAACCTTACCTCTCTCCGAAAGTCTGTCTGTCCTAACCTTACCTCTCTCTGAAAGTCTGTCTGTCTGTCCCAACCTTAAATCTCTCCGAAAGTCTGTCTGTCTGTCTGTCCCAACCTTACCTCTCTCCGAAAGTCTGTCTGTCCCAACCTTACCTCTCTCCGAAAGTCTGTCTGTCTGTCTGTCCCAACCTTACCTCTCTCCGAAAGTCTGTCTGTCTGTCTGTCCCAACTTTACCTCTCTCCGAAAGTCTGTCTGTCCCAACCTTACCTCTCTCCGAAAGTCTGTCTGTCTGTCTGTCCCAACTTTACCTCTCTCCGAAAGTCTGTCTGTCTGTCTGTCCCAACCTTACCTCTCTCCGAAAGTCTGCCTGCATTTTTGGAGACGCATTCTCTTTCAGCGTCTTGATGGCAACCATGGCAACGGATCCTTCCATATGAAGGCCAGTGAGCTCCCCCTTGTAGATTTTCCCGAAAGCGCCATCGCCCAGTTCCTGGTAGAAGCGGATGTTGTGCATGGGGAATTCCCTCACCCTTCCAGCAGTTTTCGGATTGAGCGGACTCATCTCTACAGGTTGTCCCTGTTTGCTGTGTGGCCTGGAGGCCCTGTTAGAGGGGTTCAGAGTTGTAGTGGATACAGTTACGGTAGCATAAAACTACGTTAATAAAAACTTTAGTAGAAACGTTCGACTTTGCGCGTCTTTTCTGTTTTCTAAATTGCGCTTTCTAGTCACAGTTGTATATCTTGTTGCTGTTGTTGTTGTTTTTCTTCTTCTTCTTCTTCTTCTTCTTCTTCTTCTTCTTCTTCTTCTTCTTCTTCTTCTTCTTCTTCTTCTTCTTCTTCTTCTTCTTCTTCTTCTTCTTCTTCTTTTTCTTCTCCTCCTCCTCCTCCTCCACCTCCTTCTACGCGTTCACTGGTTGTAAACTTCAGTGGAAAGTTTCGGTTATGCGTCCACTTATGGACTCTGGTCTCGTTCCAGAGCTCTAGTTCTGCTTGCGCTGCCGTTTTACATACCTGCTGTATTGGTACGCAGACTGTTGGTTTCTCGCTTCTCCAGCTGTTGCCCTCCGAATTTGAAAGGTAACCCCCAAATTAGTCCGGTACGTCTTTTACGAGTGCAGCGCGTCTGTTCTAATAGCACCGCCCCCCCCCCCTTTCCAAACTAGGCCCTGGAATCCCCATTTCTTGTCCCAGTGAGTTTTGCGATTAAACTTAGAATGACGGTAACATAAGAAGGTTCATAGCTGTAATCTTTGCCTTCCACAAACTATAGTACCTAGTTTATGAGACTGAGTCGATCCAAACTTTGCCCTGCGACTGCTACAGTTGTTGCTGCTAAGACTAACTAAAATGTGATGTAATGGCAGGCAAACCAGGCTCTTACGTTGGGTTGGCAGCTAGTCTACGAAGCAAGCTTCATGTGTTCACGTGATGGACAAACAGAGCTCTGCTCTTCTGATCCCGCAGCTTCTTTAGCACGCTTTATTGCAAACCTATCGGTGCTACCTTTCTCGTTAAGGAAACCAGGCAGGCTGCGAGAAAGATCAAGATGCATGGGCAACTCACTGTCTCCACAACGTCAACAAAATGGAGAGGAGCAACTTCAAACATGGTCTTATCCGGTTGTGATTCCAATGCCTCTCTATGACACAGTACAACAGTATCTTCTAGACAGGCGGACAGGTGTCAAAGCCTTCTCCGTATGTTACCTCACAGCAACAATCATCGACAGTCAGTTGGTTTATATACATTTATTGCCGCCATCATATACCCAATGCTTCTAGGGAAAAAAATATGTGATCATCAGATCGAAAATGTCCCTGAGGTAACTTCTGTTCTGAGACGAAGCAGTTTCTTGACTCACTGATGCAATCAAATGGAAGGCATACCAAAAGATAAAGAACAGAACAAGACAATCGAAAACAAGGTTTTATAAAATGGAGAACATCTAATGCAGGAAATCTTTGTTATTGAAAACAGCACGATATAACAAGCCAGTCAGCTAACACTGGATGTTTCAGACTGTACTAACCTGGAGTTGTGAGACTTGCTGGATGTTTCAGACTGTATTAACCTGGAGTTGTGAGACTTGCTGGATGTTTCAGACTGTACTAACCTGGAGTTGTGAGACTTACTGGATGTTTCAGACTGTATTAACCTGGAGTTGTGAGACTTACTGGATGTTTCAGACTGTACTAACCTGGAGTTGTGAGACTTACTGGATGTTTCAGACTGTACTAACCTGGAGGTGTGAAACTTACTGGATGTTTCAGACTGTACTAACCTGGAGTTGTGAGACTTACTGGATGTTTCAGACTGTACTAAACTGGAGTTGTGAGACTTACTGGATGTTTCAGACTGTACTAACCTGGAGTTGTGAGACTTACTGGATGTTTCAGACTGTACTAACCTGGAGTTGTGAGACTTACTGGATGTTTCAGACTGTACTAACCTGGAGTTGTGAGACTTCTGGCAGAAGCAGATTAGCGCCAGAAGAATCCCCAAGGCCAGAGGAACGGTCAAGGACGGGATGAGAATGTACATGAGCTTGTTGGAATCATTGCTGACCTCACCTGCAACAACAGACATGTATCATTGTTAGTCATTGAGAACGCAACGTTTATCTAAATGGCTTAGCAGCTCATACAGGCCCATAACGTCTTAAAAACCTCTTTATGTTGAAAGCAACTAACACGCCGCAGCAGCACACACAAAACAAACAACAACAACAACAACAACAACAACAACAACAACAACAACAACAACAACAACAACAAGGCGTTAAGAACAAGTGGACCAGAACGTATGTAATGCATCGCTGCAGATCGATAAGTACAGAAAAAAAAAAAAAAACCTGGCACATCGTCGCTATAAGGACTAGGGTGGCTGATTATGATGAATTTCTAAAGCTAACACAATTACACGACCTGGGGTTAAAGCACATCAGTGCTGTTTTTGGGTGGGGGCGGGGGGGGGGGTCAAGATAGAAGACATTGTAATCAACTTCTCATGGGAACAGTCATTAGAGGTACCCTGGGAGATAGAGAGAGTGAGAGAGAAAGAGATTAGGAGCGACAGGCAAGCAGACAGAGAAACAAATATAGAGAGAAGAAAAAAAGCAAGAAAGAGACAGACAGACAGACAGACAGACAGACAGACAGACAGACAGACAGACGGACGGACGGACGGACGGACGGACGGACGGACGGACAGGCAGGCAGGCAGGCAGGCAGGCAGGCAGGCAGGCAGACAGACAGACAGACAGACAGACAGACAGACAGACAGACAGACAGACAGATAGATAGATAGATAGATAGATAGATAGATAGATAGATAGATAGATAGATAGATAGATAGATAGATAGATAGATAGAAAGATAGATAGATAGATAGATAGATAGATAGATAGATAGATAGATAGATAGATAGATAGATAGATAGATAGATAGATAGATAGATAGATAGATAGATAGATAGATAGATAGATAGATAGATAGATAGATAGATAGATAGATAGATAGATAGATAGATAGATAGATAGATAGATAGATAGATAGATAGATAGATAGATAGATAGATAGATAGATAGATAGATAGATAGATAGATAGATAGATAGATAGATAGATAAAAGAAAAGAGAGGAAGCCAGAGAGAGAGAGAGAGAGAGAGAGAGAGAGAGAGAGAGAGAGAGAGATAGATAGATAGATAGATAGATAGATAGATAGATAGATAGATAGATAGATAGATAGATAGATAGATAGATAGATAGATAGATAGATAGATAGATAGATAGATAGATAGATAGATAGATAGATAGATAGATAGATAGATAGATAGATAGATAGATAGATAGATAGATAGATAGATAGATAGATAGATAGATAGATAGATAGATAGATAGATAGATAGATAAAAGAAAAGAGAGGAAGCCAGAGAGAGAGAGAGAGAGAGAGAGAGAGAAGATAGATAGATAGATAGATAGATAGATAGATAGATAGATAGATAGATAGATAGATAGATAGATAGATAGATAGATAGATAGATAGATAGATAGATAGATAGATAGATAGATAGATAGATAGATAGATAGATAGATAGATAGATAGATAGATAGATAGATAGATAGATAGATAGATAGATAGATAGATAGATAGATAGATAGATAGATAGATAGATAGATAGATAGATAGATAGATAAAAGAAAAGAGAGGAAGCCAGAGAGAGAGAGAGAGAGAGAGAGAGAGAGAGAGAGAGAGAGAGAGAGAGAGAGAGAGAGAGAGAGAGAGAGAGAGAGAGAGAGAGAGAGAGAGAGAGAGAGACGCAAGCGGCTATTGTTTCACGTAAGATTTCACTGCAGCCAAAACAAAAGCATTTTTTATTACATTGTACAGAAGCTGAACAGCTAGCAGATACCGCACGTGTTATCAATTTAAAACTGTTTTGTTGTTGACTCAACTAAACGAGCCCCACTCCAGCTATCTGAACGCCTTTCCAGATAGCAAAGGATAACCTAACCACCAAGCACCCAGCAAATCCCTGGAAAATTACATTCCGTTGACGGGATGTTTGAGATAACTTCAGTTGGGGAAGAAATCCGTATCGCGCAGCCGATAAATCTAGAATTAATACACAGGAGGTGAAGGGTTTCCATACATCTCGCTTGTTCTTCAGGTGCTGCAATTCAAACATGGCTTTCTAATTCTATAAAATCTGGCATTCTTGTAGTCACAGATGGCAACCTGGACATTTGATGCCTGATAAGAGGACGAGAACAGTACGCTGCATTTTGTGGTCAATTTTATCCATTTATTCCATAACTTAACTACAAATTGGATGCTGTCTCCACAATGAAAGTTGGCTATAATTGATTTAGAGCACATTGTCTGTGGCCTGGTTGTGAACGCCGTCAGACTGCTGTTGGCCAACATCTTCATGTTATTCTCCTACGTGTATCTTTCTCAAATGGCTTCAAAATCGCCCTTTTATCTGGCTTGAAAAAAGAATATCATGTCCTATAATAAAGCAGAAACATTTCCTGTGTCTATATTTCAATTTGTTCATTTTTTTGTTGTTCATTTGTGGAAGAGCCAGAACAGACAGGGCGGGGAAAAAAACTTGAGTTGGAGTGACCAAATAGGAACTATAAACAATGGTAGGCAGTAGAGATAAATGATTTCATAAAGCATGAAGGAATCAAAGGATCTGCTAATCTGATCCGAATGGAACAAAATCAGCTATCAGCTAGAGCATGCTACTTGAAAACAGCAAGCTAGAATTCGAGAGACCAACCAAGGAAGAGATGGATGGAGCCGGTAAAAGACGCTACAGAACAAAAGACAGGAAACTACACATAACCTGCGACACTTAACGATAAGAGCAGTAGGACAACAGAAAGACAGAAAAAAGAAAGACTCGTACACAAGTAAAATGCTCGGAATTTACCGGAGACGACTTAAAATGTGAAGGCGACACCGCATCTGATCTTGGGTGTCATGAGATTTTGAAATGGGCAACTATCCTGAAAACAAAACTAAAGCGGGTCATAAACAAACATAACAGACAGTTTGAAAACCCCTACGTAAGCGCCAGGATTCAAGTCTCCACCTGTCAATTTCAAAACCTCTGTTATATCTGACTGGGTCCACGGCCCACATACAGACAGAGAACCCCTGTTTCAAATGATTAGGTCCAGGCCGCACGGCAGGCTAAGAACCGTTGCATTACAGCATTACATTCAAGCCAAACACCCAGGTTAAGAGCCCCTAGTATACGGGATGGCAGACACACAGGGTGTTCCCTGGGTGGAATTCAACAATGTCTCCAGATGGCAGATTTCACTGTCTTGACAGCGTCGGCTACAAACAATGAGTCCCCATCAGGTGTGGACGGCCACAAAATGAGGTGAGGTGTGTGGTTCTGTTGATGTTTCATTGATACACGCCACCTGAACATGTCTGTCTGTCTACATGCCTGCCTGTCTGTCTACATTTATGTCCGTCTATTTACATGTTTGTATGTGAAAATGTCTGTCTATCTATCTATCTATCTATCTATCTATCTATCTATCTATCTATCTATCTATCTATCTATCTATCTATCTATCTATCTATCTATCTATCTATCTATCTATCTATCTATCTATCTATCTATCTATCTATCTATCTATCTATCTATCTATCTATCTATCTATCTATCTATCTATCTATCTATCTATCTATCTATCTATCTATCTATCTATCTATCTATCTATCTATCTATCTATCTATCTATCTATCTATCTATCTATCTGTCTATCTGTCTATCTGTCTGTCTGTCTGTCTGTCTGTCTGTCTGTCTGTCTGTCTGTCTGTCTGTCTGTCTGTCTGTCTGCCCAGTTATCAACCTGATTGGATTGGATTGGATTTTTAACCCCACCAGGACATCACACAAGCGATAAACACCCGATGACACAAAGTGCCACCATGCGGATGAGGATCACCGTGGAGAGGTCCCAGAAACCGCGTTCAGACATTTGGCCATAATGATGACCTGCCTATATTGCGGCCCCTGGCAAAAGCCAGAGTGGGGCTTCAAATAAGAAAAAATAACGTCCTAAGAAGGACGAAAAGTAGTATATCAACCTGGTTGCCTTATCTGCCTATTTATCTAACGGTCTATATATGGATCCTCCCCACAACCTGATTTCAAACGCTACTTTGTTTTCCAAGCTGATATACTGCCAGCCGGATCAGATATCACCCACCTTCCTGCCAAGGCAGACACACCTGACAAATATTACTCACTGTCGTTCGGGCAAGCAAGATCTTTCCGATTTTGTCGACAGTATTTACTGTAATTTATTCTAGGAACGATTTCCTAGATTTGTTACCAACATTTGATCTACCTCAGTAACGATCTTTCAAATGTGATCAACATTTTATTTATCACACTCCTAGATTTGTTACCAACATTTTATCTACCTCAGTAACGATCTTTCAAATGTGATCAACATTTTATTTATCACACTCCTAGATTTGTTACCAACATTTGATCTACCTCAGTAACGATCTTTCAAATGTGATCAACATTTTATTTATCACACTCCTAGATTTGTTACCAACATTTGATCTACCTCAGTAACGATCTTTCAAATGTGATCAACATTTTATTTATCACACTCCTAGATTTGTTACCAACATTTGATCTACCTCAGTAACGATCTTTCAAATGTGATCAACATTTTATTTATCACACTCCTAGATTTGTTACCAACATTTGATCTACCTCAGTAACGATCTTTCAAATGTGATCAACATTTTATTTATCACACTCCTAGATTTGTCACCAACATTTTATCTACCTCAGTAACGATCTTTCAAATGTGATCAACATTTTATTTATTCCAGGAACGATCTCCTAGATTTGTTACCAACATTTTATCTACCTCAGTAACGATCTTTCAAATGTGATCAACATTTTATTTATCCCAGGAACGATCTCCTAGATTTGTTACCAACATTTTATCTACCCCAATAACGATCTTCCAGATGTGACCAACATTTTATTTACCCGAGGAACGATCTCCTAGA